ACCTGGCCGTGCGAGCTGAAGTCCAAAGGTTTGGCCCCTCGGCCTCAGTTGTCTTCACTTTAAGATGGGGATGGTGTCAGCTGGGGGCGAGCTGGGTTAGTGGGCATTTACGGTGAGAACAGCACCTGTACAGAGTCGGCGCCCCCCACGCACAACCCCCCCTCCCCACCGAGCTGATGGGAGAACTAAAGGTCCCTGGATCCATGCAGCTGTGTGCTTTATCTCCGTTTAATGTCTGCTGTTCATAAAATATTTTTACAGAGACCAAAAAGTCAGAATAGTGCAAAACAGCTCAACACCATGCACCCGTGACCACTTCTGGTTTGTTTGAGACATTTGTTCCAAGTTACCTATTTACAGAGAAATGGGGGCGCCTGGGTGGGCGCCAGACCGACATGGGTGGATTAAAAACCAAAACCAAAACCGGTGTTTTGAGTTCACATTTGCAATCACATGCGAAGAGGAGGGGCGCGGCCAGGCTGCCTCCCTGGACGGCAGGACCGAAGGGGCTGGGGAGTCAGTGGGGGTCGGGTCCAGGTGCCCCCCTGCCTGTGTGGCCAGAAAGCATGAGGGACCCTCTGCCAGGACCCTGTGTCTCAAGGAAGCCCCTAGGGCTGGGGGAAGGGGAAAGGGGGGAGGGTCTTATTTGACACCATCAACTTGACGGCTCTCTTTAAACGAAGAAAAGGCAGAGAGAGTAGAGCAACACGTGTCAGCGACGACAGCTTTGGTCCTTGAAAGAGGAGGTGCCCAGGGGGGGCAGGTGGCGGGAAGGGTGCCCAGAGGAGGAGGTGGGGGAGTCGAGATGGACCCAAGACACCCCCTCATGTCTCTTCTCCCCCTCTGGCAGCAGACTTGGGGCTGTCCCCCTTCTGCTCCCCTCCTGCCCCATGTCCCCATCTGCAAAGGGGCTGGGAGGGCAGTTGGGACTGGACAGGTCTCTGAGGCCCCGGCCGGGGGGTTCCCAGGGTCTCTGGCTGGGTGTGGAGTTTTTTGCATCTCTGAGGGGGCATGGTGGTGAGGTTTCAGGCTCAGGGGGAGTTAGGGGGCAGTTGGCACCACCTCACATATGGGAATCTGGGCTTGTGGTCTTGGTGGTGTTTCTTGGAGGACAGACTGCTCAGGCTGTGGGGGGCAGGAAACCGTCCTCCCTCAGGACTCTGCTTCTCTGTCTCTGTTTCTCTCCGTGTCTCAACTCACCCCTTCTTTCTCTCTCTCTCCTCCTCGTTGGCGGAGTATTCCCCTCTGGGTCTCTGGCCCCTTGTCCCAGGAGTCCCTCTAAACCGCCTCCTCCCACGGGCTGATCCCCCTGGATCCTCAGCCTTGGTCCGTGGAACTCTGAGGCTAGCTTCCTGCATGAAGCAAGCTCCATGAGCAGCTCAGAGCCCCAACTGGCTTCCGGTTCACCTGAGACCCCTGGGCACCCAGGACAAGGTGGTGAAAGCCCAGACAAGGTGCTCAAAGCCTCAGGGGACCCCTGATCCTTGCTGGAACCTGCTGTTCCTATACAAGAGCCTGCTGTTGAAGGCCCCCTCTAGCCCCCCAACTGTCTTCCTCCTCCTCTTGCTCTGTGGCCAGCCTGTCAGTCTGGAACCCTACTCTGTGCCCGAGTTGATGTGGGATGGGGTGGCTGGAACAGAGACAGATGAGTGTGGAGGCATCAAGCACACACAGACTCCTTGACATGATGCAATGAAATACACCCTCCCTGCCGCCCTTCTGTGCCCACTGTGTGCTGGGTGAAATTGGGATACCCAAGAGGCCTCACCTCCAATATGGTAAAAACAGAGCTTGACATAGACGCCCCCAGTCTCGTGGAGTCCACACTGGTCCAGAGAGAGGACAGAGGCTAAGAATACCCTGATCAAGAGGTGGGCAGGACTTCCTACTGGAAGGGACATTTGTGGTGGGTTTTGAAGGATGAATAGGAGTTTTCTGCGAACGAACACAGGGATTTTAACTTCTAACCTGGGAGTCAGAAAGGTATTCAATACCTACTCCCTGAGGCTCCATCTGTGTGACTGAGCCAGTGCTAGGAATACTCCTCACATGCCACATACATGTGTGAAAACATACAAACACACACACACACACACACAGAGCCATTCCCCAGGAATCTTTTAGGAAAGATCTTGGCTCTCTCAACAACCATTCTTCAAGGGCCACCTCAGAGCACATCTCACCTCTGGGTCTTGCTGGTCCTCTCAACCCTGAGCTCTCCCCTTCCTCTTGGTTGGGATCTCAAGTCTTCTGCTCTTCAGTGCCTGTGACTGAGACTGCAAGCTCCCCTCTCACTCTCATCCAGCCTGTCTCTCGCTGGAGCCCCCCATCCCGTATGAGGACTTGCCTCCTCGGGGCCTTTGGGGACATACAGACCACCTGGAGAAACTGGAACACGGTGCCAGCTGTGCCCACCAATCACGCTGGGCCTGGCTCATGGGTCACAGTAGAACTGGCCCCGTCGTGTTCACAGCAGGGACCTTTCATAGCACATCTTCAGGCCTCTCTTTCAAGGTGCCCCATGAGGCGACTCTAACTGCCAACCTTTTGGTTAAGACCCGAATGCTTAATTGTCTATGCCACCTAGGAAGCTTGACCTCGTGTCAGGAAGCCACCACCATGAATATACAAACCCTACAATGCCTAGGGCTTGCGAGTGTCCTCCTCAGAGATCCCGGACCCCTTGGGCAGTGAGCAACAGAAACAACTGCCCTTAGCACCCCGGGGGCTCATCAAAGAAGCTTTTGCTTCTTAATAGCCTCCAAAATCATCCCAAGGACTCATCTTGGTGGACAGAAAACTGCCGTTCTCGTCATCCTGCGTCCAAATGGTCCCTTCTCCACAAGGCAGCCAGGGGGAGCTTTAGACATGTGCATCCCATAGAGTTATACTCTGGTGGCACCCCAGGATCTTAGGGAGACGCTTACACTCCACTCCATGGGGCTGCAAATGAAGTCTGCCAGGTCCTGTTCCCATCTCGATACCCCACCCTCCTGGGCTTCAAACCTCCCAATGCCCAGGCCCTAGTACCTGCTCTCCCAGGTATTTGGGGGGGGGTGTGTTTCTCTTTTGAATGAAAGTCCCTTCTCATCGTTCACTCCCCCAACCTAAGCCATCCACCCTGTCACTCTCCATCTCAGCTTCCTGCCCCACCCCACCCCTGCCCCCAGTTAATGTCTCCTGAGCATCAGGCACAGTCCAGAAGGAACCCATCATAAGCTTCCATGTAGGTCCTGGGCTGAGCGCAGGATCTGGGGCCCAACAGAAACCATGCAAAACTGGCCAATTCCGACTCAAAACGACTCCACTACGGGACGGAGCAGAACTGCCCCGTGGGGCTTCCTAAGCTGAAAGCTTCAAAGGAGCAGGTTGCCAGGCCTTTTCCCCGTGGGAGTGAGCAGCCAAGAGCTTCAGCGTTGTACCATCTGAGCTCCCTCCCAAATGGCCACGTTAGGAGGCGCTGGGAAACTTTCCTGAAAGATTCCGCTAAGAGGTGGGGTCCCTTGACTCTGCAGCAGTGTCCCCAAGAATGCCAGCTGGAAGAAGAGGTTCAGGCCGGCGGGGCCCACAAGCTGGGGGTGTCCTGCGTCCTCGGTGTCTGAATGAATGAGATTCTGCAGAAGGAGCTGAAGGGCATACACACAGTGCATACCTAGAACTTCTGGTCTCTGTCTGCTTTTTGCTCTTTTCCCTCCTGCCTGGAAGGTTCGGGGAGAGGAAGGTTTGGGGTGGGGCGGGAGCCTGGGATGAGGGGACCCCCGATCCTCACTCTCTTTCAATCAGAGGGCAGGATTTCTCATGGCATCCCCCAGGGG